GCTTGACATTTACACAAGAGGAAATAATATGTGTTGTTTAAACCATGCTTATTTTGGGCTTTCTGTCCATGGAAGTTGAGTCAGTTCTTAACTACAACAGATTCTGCTTCTCCTCTGTCCACCTTTTCTTCTCTTCTCCATGTATCATGGTTTTCATGGGAAATGACCCCCTTGGGCTCACGTATTTGACATTTGATTGTCAGCTGTTGATACTGTTTGGGGGGAGACTGTGGAGGAAGGAGGGCACTGTGGGGTGGGGTCTTAATATTTGATAGCCCATTCCACTTTCTGTCCTTTCCTGGTATCCTGGTCCATTGTGATGTGAGCAAGCAGCACCATGTGCCTGCTGTCATGCCATCGCTGGCTTGATGGACTGTACCTTCTGACTGTGAGCCCAAATAAATCCTTCCTCCGTTTGGACTTTGAGTGATGAATACACCTTTCTCCCTCTTCTTATGGTTGCTAATTATTATCAAGTATGATTTTTCACAGTTACATAGCCTCATCTAGCATCTCTGCTATCTGGTACCTCATTCCAATAAACTTGCTCTCGGTGTCACTTCAACTACCATGACTTTTCAGTTCCCCAAATTAATAATGCAAACATTGCACTTTAAAAATTGTGTTTCTTGTTTATTTACTGAACTGTTTCCTAAGACCTTATTTTTAAAACAGCATAATCAAGGACCCCAGTATACTGACTTTTGATTTTCTCTTGTTAGATTTCTTCTATTCCATTCATTTTTGGTGTGTGGTTCTGGGGATGGAACCCAGGGCCTTAAGAGTGCTAAGTAACTACCATCAAGCCACAGCCCTAGCGCTGCCCTTCCCTTCTTATTTAGCTTATATTACACGAGTCATCATCTCAATATCTTGCCACTATTGAAAGCTCTCCCCTTGCTCTGAATTTTTGCTGCATGCATCTCATATAATTCTAATTATAGATGAGCTCTTTATTTATTTGTTGACAGGGTTTCATTATGCATCCAAGGCTGGCCTCAAACTTGGGATCCTTTTGCTTCTGCCTCCTGGCTGTTTAGGTTACACGTGTATACTTTTACACCCAGCTTTTTAGTCAAAGAGACTGTACAATAAGACAGACTGGAATTACTTTAAATTTGTGATAATTGAGCATTTGTATAGCATATCAAAAGCCTATTCTTTGATTTAAAAAACCACTAAAGTTGAGTAGGAAAATAAAAATTATAACTTTCTAAGTTCATGAGAATAAAGAGCAGAAAAGCAGATCACAGAGGATAAGAATGTGAATAAATATTTACAAGAAGGAAAACAGATGAAATAGTTAGCAGATCTGAAAAGGCAAAAATCCCAAGTCCATTCAATGAGTAAAGCCACCCAAAAGCCTGTAGAAGTCCTGGAAGGCTCAGGAATTTGAGTAAAATTAGAATGGGAAAAAAGTAGAATTGAAAAGTTTTTTTTTTCTATTGAAAGCTTGTATGGGGAGGAATTATACTCTGAATCTCTTTCCTTCATCCTGGCAAGACATAGAAGATTCATTTTATGGAGAAACTGAACTAGGGAGACTTTGGACTGGAGAATACCACACACAGAGGAAGGCACCCTAGAAAACTGTTCAATTAAGGAACCAAGTCTTCAGTGTTGAGACCATAGTAACTGTTGTACTCCTCAGTTTCAAAAATGGAAGCAGCTTTATATATAGTTGTCAGCCAAGGGACTGGAGGGTTGTTCTCTAAAGAAAGCAAATAGCCCAGAGAAGAGAGGTACAGATAACGGAGGTTCTTACTTTCATAGTAGTGCAGGACCACAGATATGTTCACTGCAAGTTAGAACCATAGAAAGTGGTCTCAGGAATCAATGGAAAGCATTATAATTTTTCTATCTTGTTTTCAATTAAAACCTCTCACTGTCAGATATAAATGTATAGGTACATGAGATGATGAAATAGTAAGGCAGGTATTTATTTAGTTCATGGTAATTGAAAACATTAGAAGCTTTCAGAATTATGTTTTTTTTAAATTTAATTTAAACAGCTCTTTCCTTCTCGTAGCATAGTATAACTTACAATACAAAGCAAAGCTCCTTTCTATACCTTGGCATGGAAATTGGCACAGCACTTTCCAAGTCCAGATCATCTTCTAGCATTTCATCTTTTGTACTTTCAATCTTGGGAAATATCTGAGAGTTCCTTTAATATGATTTTTCCCAGCATCACTTCTACTGGGGGTATCTTCATTCTTTTTGTCACAACCATTTCCCTCATTCATGTTGATAAGTTCATCTTCAATAAATTTCTCTGTATGCTTTTTTTGAATCTTTCCTTTACGATGACTTGATGACCCTTTATCTTTTTTCATGTAAGTTATAGATGGGATCGCCTCTTTAAAAATAGTATTCAAAATTAAATAGTTGATGACTAGCCATAACCATCCACCTTAACTAATCCTTGAAATCTAGGTGCAAATTTTACAGCAGTAGCCTTACCTATGTGAGTAGCTTCACTATACAGAGCAGCATTAATCAAATCATGCAGACTTCTAAAATGATTAAAGAAGCCTTTACTGGAAATAACTTCACTGCTTTGGCCTGAACAGCAGCCAAAATGATTGGAATATTTTTATTATAGTCTTCAATTCAAACTAGAGGCAAACACTCCATTTCAACCACAAGAAGCTTTCTGTCTCCGGCACAATTTAAACTAAAAGATGCCTGTGCAAACTTATCTCATTTTTTGGTAGCATTCATTGAACTTTTCAAATTGATTCACACCACAGCTTCATGCAGGCCTCCTCTATCTTAGCTTTGCTGTTGCCATTTTCAAATTACATCCAATTTGACTTCAAGCATTTTTACTTTCTAACTCTTTGCATACTTTCATCTTTGTTAGCCAATTCCCTCTTTGGACTACCCATTTTTTTAAAAATTATGAGGATTTATCACTGGAAGACAAGTAAGAAACACTAAAACAGTACTTTGTGGTCTGAGAGTCAACTGAATTACAGAAGCACAGTAAACCACTCACCAACAGACTTTGAAAGAGGTGACATGGTTTTCGTGCACATCTGTCATTTATAATACATAGTGATTCATGGGGCTGATGAGCCAGCAGCAACATTTTCACTTAATGCAATTACTCTTAGTTAAAATACTGTGATAACTGAAATCTGAATAGTGTTGCTGGGAGACTGGTGGTAACTGAAATCTTTGCATAATGAAGATTGCTTCTGTTGATGATTGTCGTTCACCCAATGAAACATCTGGCTTTCTGCCCAATTGCCTGCACCAAAGCCTACCACTTAATAATCCTTAAAAGGTCTTCCATTAAAAATTTAAATAGAAACCTGGCATGGTGGAACATGCTCACAATACAAGCCTTTACGAGACAGAGGCAGAGACATAAGGATCATGAGTTCAAAGATATCTCAGGCGACATAGTGAGGCCTCATCTCAAAAATTAAAAGTGTAAATGAAAGCAAGCTCACTAGTAACTAGAAGAAAGCTTCAAACATGAAAGCAAGAAACCACACAGATACACACACACACACACACACACACACACACAAATACAAAGAAAAAATAGACTCCAAGGAAACAGATAATGCAGAGAACACAAAAGCATGAAAGCTAGATAATTGATATCCTTAGGGAGATAGCATGTTTTATCCAAGAAACATAAGTACGACTGTTTAAAAAGAAATAGAGGATAAGAGATAGCTATTAGAAATTAAAAATAGTATAAACTAATTAAAAAGCACCACTGGCAGTTTTGTAACAGACAGATTCTTCCCACAGAAACTAAAGCAAAGATAGTAATTGAAAATTGGAGAGAAAAGAAATAAAAAGAAAGAATCAATCCAGAAGGCCAAATTTAATCAATAAAAGTTATAAGAAGTGAGAAGAGAGAAAATGGGTAGTAGATTTAAAAATAAATAGTGTCAGGTTCCCAGAAATGAAGGACATGCGTATCTAGATTGTAACTTCCAGCAACTGCCCAGTTCTGTTAATGAAAAAGTCTCACCAATGGCAAATTATCAGGACAACTTAGAGCACTGTGGATGACAAAAAGATATTAAAAGCTTCCAAAAAGGAAAATCAGGTCACAGACATGGTTTAGGAAACCAAAGAGACAATTTTCAACAGGAATATTAGAAGTCAGAAAACAAGGAAATATAGTTCAAAAATTCTGAGGTAAAATGATTTTTATTTATATTTATTGGTTTTCTTGTTAGTTTTTTGACACAGGGTCCTGCTGTGTAGCTGAAGCCAGCTTTGAACTCGTGGTCTTCCTGCCCTACATCCCCAAGTGCTGGGATTGCAGGCACATACTATCACACCATAGATGGGAAAATTACTTTTAAGTGGGAAATTTGTATTTAGCAAATGTGTTAATAAAGATTTAGGAATAAATGTTTTCTGATATGTAAAGTCTAGTCCAAGAAACCCTCCCTCCTATGGATACTTTCTTAGGAAGCCCCGAGTGGAGGTGCTCAAAGAGACACAAATAGTTTGGATCCAGGAAATAGGCGATGTCTCATATGAAGAGATAATAGGAAGCAGTCACATTGACAGCTGTCCTGTGTTTCTAGTGGCTAATCACCTCAGAATGGAGAAAGAAGATGGAGGCCTGCATGACAGTTACCATCATCCAGACAATGCAATAAATAGGGTTCCTGATGTCTTTGGATAAAATAAACAGTAGTGGGAGCGGGCCATTTTTTTTTCCTGTATTGGGACTGAGCACATACTAGGCAAGAGCTCTACCACCAATCGACATCCCCAGCCCTACTTTAACTTTTTATTTTGGGACAAAGGCTCACTATATAGCTCAGACTGGCCTGTTACTTATGGTGATCCTGCTGTCCTAGACTTCCAAGCAGCTGGAACTATGACCCTGGGCCATCAGGCCTGGTAAAGAAAGGGACTTAAGAAATATTTGTTATATATATATGTGTGTGTGTGTGTGTGTGTGTGTGTGTGTGTGTGTGTGTGTGTGTGTGTTGGAAGTCAAGAAAAATGTTTTTACAAAGGATAGTTACTCTAGGGAGAATAAAAGGGTATAGAAGAAAGGAAACATAATAGCATACCATTTGGCTGGTAGTAAAAGATACTGACAGCCATCAAAATGTAGAGTGTGGAAGGGGGAGCTCAGGAGGCCTCAGCCCTACACAAAGAACTACAGGTAAGTTAGGAATGCTGAGAGTGGGAGAAACAGTCTTCCTCAGAAAAGAGCACACCAATTGGTTATGTAATTCCAAATGGTCAGTCCCCAAAATATACACACATTATAATTATGAGGACCAAACAGGTTGTACTTAGATATTTAGAAACACACACACAACAACAACAACAATTAATGAAAAAAGAGGCCATGATATTCATGGTAATATTTGGAGGGAGAAAAGAGAAGACAGAAATGATGTCATTATTTTATAATATCAAAAAATTATTTTTTTTACAAATGTGAAGTGTAATAGTGCTCTAACTATTGCAGCAATGAAGGTTAATAGGTGAGTCCATGTGTGTGAATGATGGCATTGCATTATTGACAATGTGACCACTGTTTTAATTCTCTATATTACAATTATTCATTTCTGTTGTATAAACCTTTCAGATTGCAAACACTTCAAGCCCTCTATTACTAAGAAAATTAAACCAAAATCAAAATAAAATGAACCAACGACCAAGCCAAATAAAGTACATCTCTCATGCTTAATAATACTTCAGCTCACCGTTCCATTTCTCGCCTCCTCCTTATCAAAATCTAATGTCTTGAAAGAAAAAAATGGTTTCTATTTACTCCCTGTATTTTCTCTGAAAAAAGCTATTTCCTCTGCAAAATAAGGTAGTTTGGCAAGGTTTCAGGGCACAAGACCTATATACATAAAATCAATTATCTTCCTATAAGATATCTATTTTCTAAAAGATTATCCAAAGACTCAATATAATCCCAATCAAATTCCAGTACAGAGTTTCATAAAAATGGTCAAGACTCAAATATCTATATTCTAACATAGATATAAAATATATCTTCATATATATGTATATATATATATATATATCCAAAGGACCTAGAATATGAAAATAATTTTGAAAAAAGAAAACAGTTTTAGAAACAGCAAAATTTGAGTAATAATACTGATGCTAAGGCTTACTATTAAACTAAACTAATCTAGACAGTGTGGTATTATGTATGAATAGACATATGAATTTAACATATACATTCAAATTATTTTTAACAAAAAACACCGTAGAGATTCAGCTGAATATCTTAACACACAAACTGAACCCATAGCGTTACTTCGCATTATATAAAAAATGGATCATACATCTAAGTGTAAAGCCTGAACTTACAAACTTCTATAAGAAACATCATGACTAGACAGATGGATCAGCAGTTAAGAGCACTTGCTGCTCTTGCAAAAGACCAGAGTTCAATTCCCAGCACCCACTCAATGAGTCACAGCCGTCCATAACTCTGGTTTCAGAGGAATGGACATTCTCTTTTGACCTCTGTGGGAACCAGGCACACCCATGGAGCACATATACACATTCAGGTCAAACACGTGTACATACAAAATAAATAAATCTACTTTTAAAATAAAAGAAACATAATAGGAGGGGCTGGAGAGACAGTACTTCAACTATAAATCTCTAGTGGGATCTAAACTAAGAGAAAAATAATTACAAATAAATCAACAAATGCTTAAACCATCCTCAATGTATCAGCAAAGATAGTTCTCATTTACCATCTGGCCCTGAAGTGTATTTTTTTATTTAGGTAATCTTGCAAAAATGTATAGCAGTCAGAGCAAAAGCACAATGAAAAATAACATCGAACATTTAGTGAAACTCGGGGTGCTTCAGTTGGTAGAGTGCTTACTCAGCTTTCAAGAAACTGAGTTCCATGCCCGCATGGAACAAAAGAAAAAAACCAGATGTGGTGGTACGTACCTATAAACCCAGCTCTTGGGAGGTAGAGGCAGGAAGAGCAGAAGTTCTAGACCTTTCTCTGCTACGTAGCAAGCTTGAGGACAGCCTGGGATGCATGAGACCCTGTCTCTAAAAAGCAATGACAACTGTATTTGTTACTTTTCTATTGTGATAAAACATGGTGACCAGCGCAACTCATGAAAAAAAAAATCATTTCATTGGGCTTACAATTTCCGAGGATTTAAGAGTCCATCATGGCAGGACAGCATGGCAGAAAGAAGTAGGCATGTTGGTTGGCACAATATCTGAGCGCTCCCATCGCAAAACTGCAAACAGAAAGCAAAGAGGCAGACTGGGAAAGGCCTAGTCTTTTGAAACTTCAAAGCCCACTCCCTCTAACAAGGCCACACCTCCTAATCCTCCCCAGACTGCCAACAACTGGAGATCAAGTCTCAATGCTGGAGACTTATGGAGGACATTTTATTCAAACCACCACCACCACCACCACCACCACATTTAAGAAGATGCTTGATATAACAATCCATTTGTATAATGTGAAGCTTGACATAAATCTTGAACAATACAGAATATGCTCTCATGGCCTTTTGTCAAAAAGTACTTCCTATTAAACAACTCATTCTTTTTAATGTGTAGCCTTTTGTATCCTTTGTTATTCTTTTTTGTCTTTTAAAATATATTGTTCAATTATTCCTGAGTCTGAAAAAAATCATCTACGATATCTCCATCTGAGATTTCACTGACGTAATCAGTTTTGTTCTCATTAGAGTCTTGAGTGCTGTTATCTTTGTTTCAGTATTCACATTCTGATTCAACTAATAATTGTAAAACATGCCCTTTTGTCAATTTCCTTCTTTTTGCCATTATAGGAAGAAAAATTAAAAGAAAATCTTTATTCTCGAATGATTTTATTAAAAGCTAAGAAGATGCTATAAAACAAAAACAAAACAGCATTGAAAAACATCTGATGCCTATGAGTAAAATGAAGAAAAACATTCAAGGCCTCTAAACAGACAATTCTAAAGCAATTTATGAAAGGGAATAAGAGAGACCCAAATAAATGGGCAGGTTATAAATATGTCAGTATTTTAAAGAAATCAGTTCCTGCTGATTTGATCTGTAGATTCAAGACAATGTCAAAAATGTTCACATGTGGACATTGACAAGCCAATTCTAAAATCTGTACGTGCTTTAGTTACTTCCCCCTTATTACAACGAAATAGACACCAAGGAGGAGCTACAGCAGGAGAGGCCTATTTTTAGCTCATGCTTAGAGGGCGTACCGTCCATAAAGGTGGGGAAAGCATGGCAACAGGTTCTGGGGAAATGTGGCAGCTGGTGACATCTATCACCAGCCAGCAATCAGAGAGAGGTGAAAGTTTCTGCTCTTCTTTTTATTCATTCTGGACACCAGCCCTTGGGATGAAGCCACCTTCATTCGGGGTGGGAATCTTCCCTCCTCCGTTAACCCTTTCTAAACCTCCCCCCACCCCAGAGACATGCCCAGAGGCATGTTTCCATGGTGATTCTAAATTGACTCAAATTGACAGTGAAGATTAGCCATCACACTGTAGAAATTAAGAAAATCAAGACTAGCTAAGGCAGTCTTGAAAAAGGTCAAAATAAGTCTTCATATCAGAGATCAAGCTTCGTGGATAGAATTAAGATAATGCCATATTGACACAGTATAGAACAGAATAAGGACTCTAAAACAAAACCCAAAATATGTCAGAGAAACTATTGTAGTTCAGTGGGGGAGGGGAGTCTTTTCAATAAATATAGTGCTTTTCAGAAAATCATCACTTGCTTATCCATTGAAGGGAGAGTGTATGTTAAGCTCTTCCTCATACTACATACAGAAAGGAATTCCAGATAATTTGCAAATACAAATGTGAAAGGTAAATCAAGAAATCTTCCAGGAAAAGGTTTAGTAGAGTATCTTTACAGAATATACACGTGGAAGGTGCTCTCAAAACTGGGAAAATCTGAGTTTAAAAACGTGATAATTGGCTGGGTGGTGGTGGTGCACGCCTTGAATCTCAGCACTTGGGAGGCAGAGGTGGATGGATCTCTGTGAGTTCAAGGCCAGCGTGGTCTACAAAGCAAGTTCCAGGACAGCCTGGGCTGTTACACAGAGAAACCCTGTCTCGAACCGCCCCCCACCCCAAAAAACCCAGCCAACCAAACACACACACAGACACACAAAAAAAGCATAATAACAATGAATTACAACTTACAGAATAAAAATAAGTAGACATGGGTCTATATTGCTGTAAACAAATAATTGAATTAAACCAGCATGAGGAAGATATCTCTTTCTTATAAAAGAATCCCAATTATTAAATACAGAAGCAATAACTGAAATACATAATCACCATAGGCAAACAACACAGTAATAATTATTGCAAGCAAGAAGCATTTGTGGACCAAAATGAGTGGGAGTTTAAGGAGAATCAGGGTATTAGAGTACTCTCAAAATATCTTCCCCAAATTCTCAATAATCACAAAAGTGAAAAACAGCAACTTCTTGGTGGTGAAACCTAGCAAACAACACATTTACCAATGATCTAGGTTACTTTCACCAATAATAAAGGATATTGGCATCATGTACCTTGATGTGATATGCTGGGAAAGGCACAATATTACATGTGGTGTCTTGCAAAAAATATAAATAATGGCAAGCTGATCATGAGAAAAGATAGAAGGGCTGGAGGAGTCAGTAGCTTGTACCTGGCGCTCAGAATCGAAATAAGGAGAGAGACACACATACACCCAAAGCAGGGAATAGTGGGAAATTTTCAAATGGACAAACTCCAATAGAACTAAAGAGCAGGAGCGACTGAATTTGAAATTACCATTGGGGGAAAAAACCCTGAAATGTCAAGCCCTTCTTCAGTACTTCCTCATAAGGGTATCAGAAGCAGCATGTCATATTAAGCTTGATATATGACAGATAACTGTGGAAATCTTTGTGCAGGAATACAAATTGATTCACTTATAGTTCATCTGAACTTTGAATCGACACACATTTTTCATTGATTTTTCTCCCTCATTTTAACCATCCCATTTCCACCTACTTCTAGTACCACCCACATACTAAGCATGATTGACTCATGCATGTGAATTAAACTATCATTGTACACAGTTTTGCTTTGTCTTTTTCAATGGCATTCCTCTCAATTTGAACATTTCAACTTGATCATTTCGAACAGCTTTGGTATTTTCTTGTCACTTTGAAATATCATGTACACCTTCACTATAAACAGTTGCTGAGATTATCCTGTGAACTCGTGGCTATTAGCACAGTCTATCACACTTTGAACTTCATATGTAGAGATGTAGAGAGCACACACTGGTCCAGTGCCTGAGGTTCAGTAAATAATACTGACAGAAAATATTAAAGGATTCAGTCCCGTGTTTAATTGTACTTCAAGTACATGAAATATTTTTCTAATAAAGTCCTGGGGAGCTGTTTTCTAGCTGTATCAAAGAGAATGCAGGGTAGACAATGGCTTAAATAGCAGTACATTTATTTTAGTTAGAAGCAGGCAAGAAGTCAGAGATATGGGCTTTGTGGTAAGGGAACTGAAGGCTTGGAGATCCATAGCATAAAGGAGTGGTGTAATTGGAAAGTATTTCAGGTAAGTGGTTAAAAACAAAAATGTGTCTGCTCTTGCTTACTGCTAATGTCACTACAAACAAATCACCTAACTTTCATCATTCTTTCTCCTCATTCCCAAAATGACATGATAAGCTTAAATTTTAGTTTTTTTTAAACTATGTTAGCTACATCAAATGAATTCTTTCTTGAAAGAAATTCTCTTGCAAGATGCATGGTCAATTATGCTTTGCAATGTAACACAATAGTATTCAAGGTTATAACAGCTGCCATGTGAATCTTGCCTTTTCCATTTGCTGTTTATTTTTTGACTGAAATGCATTGTCACATTTTTTTCTCTGTAAAATAAAAGTTTGAGCCAAGCAAGATGGTACGTGCCTATAATCCCAACACTCCGGTGACCGAGGCAGGAGGACTACAAGTTCAAGGCTAGCTTGGGTTACACAAGCTTTGTCTCAAAAATTAAATAAATAAAAGAATGCTTGTTATAGATCGTTATGCCTTATGAATACAGATGTAAACATCCTCAACAAAATACTTACAAATGAAGCATTTTAAAGGATTGTGTACCATGACTAAGTGGATTTTATCCTAGGAATGCAAAAGCTGTTCAATACAAGGAAATCAATCAATATAAAACATCACATTAATAAAAGGAAGGCTTTTTTTAAAAATCACAGTTACACAAGGAGACATTTGCAAGATAGCAAAATGACAACTTACAGGGAGAGGGAAAGTATTTACAAGTTATCTATCCAGTAAGGCTAGAGTGGTCAGAAGATGTACAGAACCGCCTAATGTAAAGAGACGGGCCATTTAAAGATGGATGGAATATTTAAAGAGACAGTTCCCCAAAGAATATCTGTAAATGGGCAATAAGCTCACAGATTGATACCCAACCTCTTCTAGTAGTTAGGAAATTCAAAACCACAGTGAGGTTTCCACACCTGTTATGTTGTCTATTATAAACAAAAATAAAACACAAACAAAATATAACAAAGTTTGGGGAGGGTATGGAGAAATTGGCTTAACGTACAGAACATTTTATATCTCAGTAGTGAGAATATGAAGCGATGCAGTCATTGTGTAAAACAGTGTGACAGTTCCTCAAAAATTGAATATAGTATGATTATATGACTGAATAATTTCACTACTAGTTACATAGTCAAAATAATTGAAAACAGGGACTCAAATGAATACATGGAATTCTCATTTTCATAGCAATACTATTTATAACATCCAAGAGGCCCAAATGTATGTCAATGAATGGTTAGCTAAACAAATTGCTGTGTATTCATACAATGGAATATTATTCAGCCATAAAATAGAATGAAGCAGTGATGCATACTACAATGTGTAGACAAATCTCAAAAATCATGGAAAGACTCCAGATACAAAAAGTTCTGTGCTATGTGATGAACTTACATGAAATATCAAATAAGTAACGCCATGGTGGTTGTCAGGAATATAGGAGGGAGAGAAATAAGTAGGGAGCATCGACTTAATGGTTAAAGTGTTTTCTTTTGGGGTGATGAAAATGTTTTGAAACTAGAGAGATGGAGCACACAACATTGTGAATATGCTAAATGTCACTGAATAGATTATTTTTATTTTTATTTTGTTGGTGTTTTTGGTATAGTGTCTCACTACGTAGCTTTGTCTGCCCTGGAACTCCCTATGTAGATTATGCTGGCCTCAAACTCAGAAAGATCTGCCTGCCTCTGCCTCTGCCTCCCAAGTGCTGGGATTAAAGGTGTGTGCCATTATGCCTGGCTGAGATTACTTTAACATGGTTAATTATGCAACTGAAAGCAAGTGGTGTGCCTGTGGTTCCAGCACTTGAGAGGCTGAGCCAGGAGGATTGTTTGAATCCTGGAGTTCAGGTCCAGACTGAGCATCAGAGAGAAGCTACCTCAATAAAATAAGAATAAGTTAAATGGTTAGCTTTTACATCAAATTAAGAATATTGTGCGCAGCAAATGGAACACTCATCAGAATAAAAAGGCAACATAGAGAGTGGAAGAAACTTTTGGTATTATCTGACAGTGATTTACTATTCAGACTATATAAGGCTTCAAGAAATGAAACTGGTACTGCCATATGAACCACCAGCACCCTTTCTGGGTGCATATTCAGGGAAACAGAAACAGTGTAATGAAAAGACATCCAAATTGCTATGCTTATTGAAACACTGTTCACAATCTGCAAAATCTGGAATCGACTTAAATGTCCAACAATGAATAAAAAGGGAAAGAGCTGCGTGGTGGTGGTGCATGCCTTTATTTCTAGCCCTCAAGAGGCAGAGGTAGGCTGATCTCTTCTGAGTTCAAAGCCAGCGTGGTCTACAGAGCGAGTTCCAAGACAGTAAAGGCTGTTCCACAGAGAAACGCTGTCTTGAAAAACAAAAAAAAATTTTTTTCTATATGGGCACATGATGAAATACTGTCTACTCATGGAAAAAAAGGAAATCATATCATTTGTGTCAAAATGAATGGAAGTGGATTTGATGATGCTAAATGAAATAAGCCAATCACATAAAGACAAATACCACATGATGTCACTCATATGGATTCTGAAAAAATTGAAGTCACAGAAGTTTGCAAGTAGGGTAGTAGTTAGCAGAGGTTGGAGAATAGGGGTGGGGAGAGTTAAGGACAAGGTACTCAGGTACAGGAGCATAAGAGAATATTCTTGCATCTTACTACACAATAGTAATTATACTTATTACACACAAGTAAGCCTTATTTGAGATGACAGATACATTTAACCTGATTATATAGTGTACACAGGGATTGAAGTGTCACATGGTATTCAATTAATACACATAACTCTTTTTGTATTAGTTAAAAGCACAATAAAGTGAAAAGAACTTGGATCCCTCAAAAATGCTTTCATAGTCAAAAGAACTTGACTATTTCTTCCTGATGCTATCAATAATAAATCCAAATACTACAGAGAAATATAAAGAGGAAAGTAAAATAATCATCCATGGGAGATACGGGAACCAGAGAGAGCAAGGACGGTTTAGAGGGAGGAGAAGGAATGCGGAAATGATGTAATTATATTATAATCTGAAAAAGAAAGGAAATCATTTTTAAAAGGTTAAGGGAAGCAAGGAGGTCCCTTCTTCACAACTTGGTACACCAGGCTACCTTCCAGGGATTCTCTGTCTCTGTCTCTCATCTCACCACAGGAGCACCGGGATGACAGATGCATGCACTGTCGTGTCCTGCTTTGTATGGGTTCTAGGGAACTAAACTTAAATCTTCATCCTTGGGCGGCAAGTGCTTTACAGCAAGCTACCTCTCCAGCTCTCCACTCTATTCCTTGAGACCAGATTGCGTGTGAACCTGGAGATCAGCGATTTGCCTAAACGTGCTTGCAAGCAAGCCCTGAGGAGCCTTCTGCTTCTGCTTTCTCGGTACTGGCACCGCAGGTATGTGCTACTGGGCTTAACTTTTACATGGGTTCGGGGGATTGAACTCAGGCCCACATACCTGATGGCCAAGGACTCTACTGTTTCAGCCATCTCTCCAGCCACAGCACATTATATGTAAGGATGAAAATGATGTTCTCAAGATGGAGTGCAACCCTTGCGAGTGCTTGTCTAGCACGATTGAGCCCTGAGTTCAGTCCCCATTACTGAAAAGAAAATGGTAAATGATAAAATGCCCTCAAATTGGTAGGGGTAGATGCACAACTCTGAATATATTACTATCAAAAGCTATTTTCTGTATACTTATAAGAGGTAAGTCACTGCTATATAGATTTTTAAACTTCAAGTAATTTCATTTTTATTTAAAAAGTTTTTTCATACAATATATTTGACCATATTCTTCCCCTCAGCTCCTTCCAGATCATCCCTACCTCCCTGCTCACCCAATTCCATGTTCTCTCTCTCTCTCAAACCAACAAACAAACAAAATGAAAATCAATGAGACAAAAATGCCAAAACAAACAAAAAGTCCGCACACACACACACACACACACACTCACAAAACCCCAAAGCATCAGGTGTAGCAGGAATCTTAGAAGGTCTCGCCAACTTCTCAGCTGATCCTGTATCCTCAGCCTGGAAACCTCTGTGTCCTCATCCGAATGGATCTCAGCTGAACTGCTGCTCAAAAGCCTGAAAGCTTAACCAGGCTCTAGTTCCTGGTCCTCATGCCTTATATACCTTTCTGCTTTCTGCCATCACTTCCTGGGATTAAAGGCGTGAGTCACCATGCCTGGCTGTTTCCAGTGTGGCTTTGAACTCACAGAGATCCAGATGGATCTCTGCCTCCAGAATGCTGGGATTAAAGGTGTGTGTGCCACCATTTTCTGGCCTCTATGTCTATCTAGTGGCTGTTCTGTCCTCTGTGCCCAGAGAAGTTTATTAGGATGCACAGGTCTGGTTTGTGTTGGCCCACTCCTGCGCTGGACTGTAGTTGATATGCTCAGTGTCACTGCACTGGAGAAAACTGATTTTCCCTTTCCCGGCAGACATCAATTGCAAATAGCTTCCTGCTTAGAAGTGCAACTTTGTGACCACCTCCCCTTTTCAGGGCTGGAATTTTTCTGGTTTGAACTCATGGAGACTGACAGTTATACATCTTTTTAATAAATACATGAAAAATAAACGTAAGTATGTTGATACCCACTCTTTTATAGAACATTTGTTTACTTTTTTGTTGGTTGGTGGTTTTTGGGGAGTGGGTTGGGGGAGAGGGCAGGCTTATTCTGTAGCCCATCCTAGTCAAGGACAGCCTCCTGCCTCAGCCTCTTGAAGACTGGGATTATAGGTATGAGCAATCATACTCTGATTCCAGTTTTGGAACATATGCACGTATTAATTTTTTTTTTCGAGACAGGGTTTCTCTGTGTAGTTTTGGTGCCTGTCCTGGATCTCGCTCTGTAGACCAGGCTGGGTTTGAATTCACAGAGATCCGCCTGCCTCTGCCTCCCGAGTGCTGGGATTAAAGGTATGTGCCACCACCACCCAGCCAAGAAATGGTTTTAAACATGGGTTCTGGAAATAGATGTTTCTGTCTGGCACCTAACTGCTAGTTTATTTTGTAGCAAACATTTAAGGAAAGTGGCTGTAAATAGGCTCATGGATTATTATTGGATGTTGGAAAATATTTGTAGATTTGCACAGAGGGTTAGCTTTTTAATAAGTCTCTCGTTTTAATGCTTAAATCTACAGAATTGTAAGTAGAAACATTTTGTGAATATTTAGAATTTTAATAAATTATTCTGAGATTCATGAGGTTAATTTTGTTGGATCAGATCACAGGCTAGTTTTTTTGTTTTTTAAATATGTTTTGGAGTCTGGGTGTGGTGGTGTGTTAGTTGTAATCCCAACACCAAGGATGCTGAGCATGAGTTTCAATCCCATCTGGGATAAGCCATAAAATCCTGTCTCAAGCAAGCTAACAAAGAAAAAAGATGAATATACTTTCCTTTTGTTATAAAATTATATTTTTAAAAGGTGGCTCCAAACCTGTAATTTCAGTATTTGGGAGACAAAGGCAGAAGGATCACCATGAATTTGAAGCTAGTCTGATTTATGTAATGATGTTTAGGCTGGCCGGGGCTACAGAGTGAGACCCTGTCTCAAAACAAACAAGTAAAAAAAAAAGTTTGAATGTTTTGTAGAAAATGATTTGCCTGAAGCACATTAAAGGCCATTGGAGTATTTTTAAAAGAGAAATCCACAAAAACGTAATGGTGCCAAACTGAAAACTACCCTAATGTCCTTCAATAGGAGAATGGATAAATTAACACAATGGGTAAATATACTGCAGTGAGACAGAATGCACAGCTACTACACACAATTATATGGGTCTCATAAGCAATGCTGCAGTGATAAAAGCCACACATAAAAGAGCTCACACTGGATGGCTCTATTAGAGTTCAAAATAAGGAAAATGACTCTATGGTATTAGAAGATAGGATAATGTTTAGCGTTGTTGGAGCTAGTTACTGGAATGGGTCACAAGGGGCATTATGAGGTATTATCTTTTTTTTCATCTGGATGCTTTTTACATGAGTGTGTTAAGACTGTGGAACTCCATCAAGATGTACACCTGTTTTTTACTTCTCTGTGTGCATGCTGTACTTCAATTAAAATTTACCCAAACAAGCAATCAAGCAAGTAAACAAACAAATCCCTTAAACTCACATAGCCTTCCAGCTTGCTCTCCAGAACCTCTTTCCTCCTCAATCACACACAACCAACTTCTTGAACCTTCTCTACGTGCTGCTTCTATTTCCCCACATTGCTCTCTTCCCCCAGCTCACTCCAATGAGACTTTCTCTCCAAAACAGCTCTCATAGTGATCACCAATGATCTCTCATGTTAAACCCAAAGGCAAAAAGATCCTATCTTTAATTTGCTTGATTTTCCAGCAATCTTGATACCGTTAGCCACTTCCTTGTTGTTAGAAACATTCTCTTCATATGGCTTTTGTAGCACAACACTAACAGGATAGTCTTCCTACTTCTAAGGGACTCCATCTCTGGCTAGTCATCCTCCTCGCTCTGTCTGTTAAATGGTGATCATCCCGTAAACTCTCAGCTTTAGATTTTCACTTCTCATTGTATGCTCCCTCCTTCAGTGATCCCATTCATTCCTATAGCTTTCAGCACAATTTATATTCAACTCCCAGTTAGCAGAAACAGCCTCGATTTCTCTAAGTTCCACACTCAGATATCTAATTACCTAACACACATCTCCATTTGAATATTTTACAGCCATTGCAAAGCTCATTCGTTCAAGACGAAATCTTAGTTTCTTTCTGCTCCAAGTGTATTCCTTATCTGTCCTAAGAAGTTCCGCCAGCATCCCTTTATTTGCTCAAAATTGGGGACATTTAAAAAGTTACGTCTTCTTTCTCTGTGAGTCTTTCTGTCTGTCTGTCTCTGTGTGTGTGTGTGTGTGTGTGTGTGTGTGTGTGTGTGTGTGTGTGTGTGTGTGTGCCATGGCTAGCATGTGAAGGTCAGAGGACAACTTTGGGGAGTCAGTTTTTCTCCTTCCACCATACAAGTCCTGGGGATTGAATTAAAGTAGTCAGGATTGACAGTGGGTGTCTATTCACTGAACCATCTCACTGGTCCTGGTGACTTTTTTTTTTTCTTGTTTTTCGAGACAGGGTTTCTCTGTGTAGCTTTGCGCCGTTCATGGATCTCGCTCTGGAGACCAGGCTGGCCTCGAACTCACAAAGATCCGCCTGCCTCTGCCTCCCGAGTGCTGGGATTAAAGGCGTGCGCCACCACCGCCCGGCTTCGTGTGCCACCACCGCCTGGCGACTTTTTTTTTTTTTTTAACAGTCCCCAATTTCTCACATCCAAACTCTGGGAATGCTAAACTTACTTCACCCTTGGCAATTTGAGCCATGGAAGCATATGGGAAGGTAGGGTGAAAGAATTTACAGCAACCTGTTCTGAAGCTTCTCTGGGTTCAACAAGGTAAGAAGTGACTACGGTGACTATTACAATGCACCACTTAGACCCTCCCAGCTGCTGGAAGTGGTGGCTGCTGATGGCTCTCAGTTATGTCTCTCTTTGAACATTGCTCTTAACCACAGGGGACTCTGTCCGACATTGCCACTTCTCTGGAAAGATAGACATAGTGAGTGCATCTACCCAATGAAAGTACAAAGGCTCAAACCTCAGCTTTCGACAACTCAACAGAGAAGTCAGCACGGCTCCAGAGCTCCCATAAGAACACTTGGGGCTTTCCACTTCTACTCCTCCCTTGCCCTAGCCCTACTTTTCTCACTTCCTCGCAGGTCCTCTCAATACCAATTGAACAACTCCAATAATCATCTGCACGCAAATCTTTGTATCAGAGTCTATTTCCAGGAAAACTCAGATGACTTTTCAAGAACATCTTCCTAAATGAGCAAGGAAGAGGCAGCTCCATTGAACACGAAGGGACGTATATTACTAGAAGAGTAAGGGAGAAGAAGGCAGAGCAACTGTTGACAAGGAAGAAGGGAAGACGCCTAGAGCTCAAGGTTAGTATTGGAAAGACTGGACCTTTTCAACTGTTTGAAAATTTCATAATGCACACAATAGGTTTTGCTCAAGCCCACTGCCCATTCCTTATCTCACAATTCTCCCCTTATTCACTACTCCCTCCCCATTTCATGTGTTTTCTTCTTCTTTAACTCACTGAGTCTACTTGGTGCTGCCAGTATGCCTGGGACCCTCTATCACAGCAAAGGTAGGCTCTCAGGGCCTTCATCCTTAAAGAAAACTGTCTTTTCTTCATCCAGCAGTTGACAATAGTTCTATAGATAGGGGTGTGCATTCATGACCTCTTCACTCCTTCATGCTAGGAATTTGTGTGACTTGATCTTAGGCAGGCCTTGTGTACACTCTTATAATCACCGTGAGTTCATATGCACAACTGCTCTGTTGTGTCTGGAAGACACTACTTTGTTGTAATCATCTACACCTCTGGCTCTTAAATCTTTCCAGCTCCCTCTTCCATGATGATCTTAGAGCCTTTGGAGAAGGGAGTATGGTATTCATGTCCCATTTAGAGCTGAAAACTTCACAGTCTTTTACTCTTTGTGCATGATCAGTGTGGGTCTCTGAGTTAACTGATGACTATTGCAAAAAGAAGCCTTTTCTAAATAGGGAATGCTATACTTTTAAGACTGGAGCTAAGAGAGATTTCATCTCTGCTTGTGAGAATGGTATTCTTAGGGTGTTGATGAGCTAGACCCATTTTTATGCATCCTGTCTAAGTTCTCCCTTGTTTCTTTGCCTGTTGCTGTGATAAAATATTCTAACATGAGTAACTTAAAGAAAAGGGGGTTTATTCTAGCTTACAGTTCAAAGGTACAGTCCAGCGTGGTGGAGACATCAAGGCAGCAGGAACTTGAAGCAGCTGGTCACATCACATCGCAGTCAGAAAGCAGAGAAGGCTTCATGTGTGCTGGTGCCTAGCTCCTGTTGCCTATCTTAAGGGTTGGAAGGGCAGCTCAATGGTTAAGATCACCTGCTGCTTTTGCAGAGGGCCCGGATTAAGTTTCAAGCACCCATATGGCATCTTACAAACATCTGTAACTCCACTTCTAGGGGGGATCAGATGTCCTCTGCTGATCTCTGCAGGCACCAGGCATGTACATGCATACAGGTAATACACTCATATACTTTCTCCATTTGATGGCATCTGGGATCTCCTGTCTAGGAAACGGTCCTATCCACAATTAAGATGGGTCTTCCTACACACCACATCAATTAATGTAATCAAGATAACCCCACAAGGCATGTGCAGAGACTCCTCTCCTGGATGATTCTAGACTCTGTTGACAGTGATTACTAACAATCATACCCTCCATTCATTTTCCTTATGAAAATAAACTATTGGCTTGAGAAGCCTTAGAAATAGCACTTTGCTCATAGATATACTGTGACAAAGAATGGTAGTAAAGGCCCCTTTACAATCTATGCACACCTATTTCCAATAAATGTACATGTCCGTGAGCATGCGGTACTGTTTACCACAGTCAAATATATGAAAAATTTATTTATACATCTGAGTGTACCTGTAGTCTTGAAAAATCACCGATATGGAACAAAATCTCTTCAAACTCAAAGAACTAAGGATGTTCATAAATAGCTTATGTACAATATTTCATAGTTTACCTGTTATATCTAGATCTTGGGTTCATTTTGAGTTAGTTTCTATGTATGCTGTAGGTAAAGGGTTCAAATTAATTCTTGTGTGTTTATGTGAGTATGTATAGTGCATGCATGTGCGGTTGCATGTGACTGTGTGTTGCAGAGGCCAGAGGATTTCAACTCTCCTGCTCAATCACCTTTTACCTTGTTTCCCTGAGACAGGATATTTCACTGAGCCAGGACCTAGGTGGGAAGCTGGTGAGCTGTGTGATCCTGCTCTCTCTGTTCCACCCATAGTCATAGGATTACAGGCACACAGATGTGTGCTCATCTTTTTGCTGGGGATTTGAACTCATGTTCTATATGCTTGCACAGTTAGTGCTCTTATTCACTGAACCATCTCCCTGGACCTTCAAATTCATTCTTTTGTATGTAGATATTCAGCCTTTTCAGCATCATTTGTGGAAAAGATAATTCTTGAGCCATTCAAATCTTTCAGTACTCTTGTCAAAAATCCATTGACCATAAATGTCAGGGTTTGGATTCATTTCTTTCATTGAAAATTGTTTGTTTTGTATTTTTCTTAACACAAAAGTAATATTGCAGAAAAATACATGTAAGTCCAAACAAAGATCACATGTTGTTCCATCAGACTCAAGGTCGTACATTTCCACTACTGTCAACACTAAAAAAATAAAAAATCCTTCCACACTATTTTCTGAAGTGTAAATGTCATTCTATAGCATTGATCTGTATCTTGTTTTATAAAAAGCTTCACAATGTTCTGAATGTAGTTCCATCCAATAAACATAGATGCAATTAAATCATTGCTTTTATTGACTTTACTATGATTTAAATGATTAAGTATGGATATGACTTAATCATTTTTATCCCATTCCCTACTGTTAGACACAGTGACATAGGACATGGACATCCTTATAAATGTATCTTTAAATACCTGTCCAATAGTTGAGAGGTAGCAAGCTGCCAGCACAATGATTGGCTTTTGCTATCAGATGTGTTTTATTACATATGTATATATAAGTATACATAATCTGTAAGCTTCATTTGTTTACATTCCCAGGAATAGGATTGCTGGGTCTCCTGCCATTTAGTTCTGACTCGGCAAGGTTCTGCTTGACCTGGAATGATGTTTGGAATCTCTCCCTGGACCGGTGCCATAAGTAGGAGGAAGACAGAGAGAGTAGTGTGAGGCGAGCTTTAGAACTGTTCTCTGAGGTTACTGATGACCCGACTCCCACAGGCCTCTTTGGGGATGCAGTACATAAAACTGGAAGGACTAATGGATTAAGCATCCAGAGATCTGGATCTGCTTCTGAGTGTATTATAATATTGCTCTGTGACTTTGAGCCAGTTATTTAATCCCTCCGTTGCTAGCTGGTGAATCCCTCTAAATTTCATTTCCTTACACTGTTTTTCTGAGAAGCAAATGCAGTGTTGTGTGGAACGTGTTTGGAAAACCAGAATCCTATATGATTTTATGACAGTTCTATTCATCTTAATTTCTCAGATTGTTTTCCATAGGGTAAAATAGATCTAATCTTATGGCTGTAAGCTACTGTCTGCTCATAGAACCTTGCTTTTAGAAGTTCTGATTTCCAAGGGTAGACATGATTCTGGGCTGCAAGGATCTAATTCAGTGTGCTTGTGTTCTACAATCATTTATGGATGATTGCACATGCCAGACACTTTGGATACAAAGATGAGTGTGATTAGTCCTTGTCTTTGCAGTGCTTTGTAGTCCACTAGAAAGAGACAATCATGGACTGAAATCATCAGGGAGAAGAGATACAAAAGAAGAGAGAGCCAAGACTGCAATAAGAGAAGCAATCAAGGCCTCAAGGCACAGGGTCTATAGAGGCGGGCTTGAGAAGGAGAAAGGACCAGGTGTGTGTATATGTGTGCATGCACGTGGGTGCCTGGTAGTCTCTGCCAGTGCAGTAAATCTGGGGCTAGACTTTATCTTAGAATCTGTGCTCATTTCTATGCATTTACATTTCTTTTTTTAGTTTTGTGTTTCTCTTCATTTTCTAGTCGAGTTCTTTTTGAAAAATGCTAATCTGGTGTTAGCTGTACTAACAGGAAAAGAGATTTGTCTACACTCATGCCAAGAGATTTGGAGAACCCAGAGTGTTCTCGAAGCCAGTAGTGCTGGTAAAAGTAAAGAGCCTATTTGGAAACCAGGGAAGAGCTTGGAGATGCTCCTTCCTCCCTGCTGCCTGCATCATCTGGCATCCTTCTTGGATCATTTCCAAACGCATCACCTTGCAACCATTTGTCTGCTGCCACTGTGGCAGCAGCAAGCACAGACTTCAGAAAAGGCCAACTAAACATCTTCCTGCCCTTTTCTCTAGACTGCCTCTTTCCCCCAGTTTGGACATCTAAGCATTTCTATTCCACATAAAAGCCAAATGCAATGATTATTGAAACCAGAGGAAATAAGGGATAGTGTTCTACTCTTAATGCTTATTAAATTTGGACTTAATCTTCTTCATCACAATTAAGCCTTTAAACCAGCCAATATACTTAAACGAGGTGAAATGAAAAGACTTACTGTAAGAGATGACAGGAGGCTCTCTGGGAAATTAAAATCTCCAGAGATTCCCAAAGTGAGAGTTACTGAGCCAAGAAAGAGAAATAAAGAAAATGACTTTTAACGCTTAATAAACAGGATGCCAATTAGGCCTTTGACTAAAAAGCTAGATGATGTCAGTATCACCAATGGGGGATGGGTTAATAGAGCCAGGGAGTTAATAAACACTGTGTGGTTTCCAGATCTTCTTCTTTCTCCTCTTTCTTTTTGGGTGGGGTGGGGTGGGGTGGGGAGGAGGGGCTACCTTTTTGAGACAAAGTCTCTTTATGAAGTTCAGGCTACCCTGGAACTCCTTGTGTAGACCAGGCTGGCCTCTACTTTGCAGCAATCATTCTGCCCCTGCCTCCAGATCCATCTTTGAGTCACTTTCTTTTAAACTGGCTCAGTGTACCTACCTTTCTTTTCTCGGTTTATCCTTCTGTGACATGGGAAGAAATCCATGATGCTGCGGAAATACCTACTTGCTTATGTGAAGATTTTAAAAGGGTCTTTCCTTATTTTCCATGTCACCAGTGCTGCTTTAGGGATAGAGCTTAAGTGAATGCTCCATGGAGCCACCACAGACTGAAACTACACCATTTATGGAGGATGGAGCTAAAGCCACCCAACAACTTCAGTGCAGACTTGGGAGGAGGAAATGACCACCACGTTTCCATGAGCGTATGATTTTCTGTTACCTTTTTGGACACAGAGCCTTTTCCCAGAAGCCCTTTCTTCTCAACACTTTCTCCTAGGACAGAAAAGCAGCAGCCCTAAGTCGTGGGAAGGACACCTCCCAAGTCGGGAGGGTTTCCAGGTCCCAGTTTCTACCAGCTAGAAGTTTGATTTACCGGCACCATCTGTGGGAAGACAAATGGCCCCTTCTGGCTGTGCTGGCCAGATGCAGAGAAGGAAGGAAAGAAGGGAAAAAATGGAGGAAGGCAGATTAGTAAATCAATAAATATTCAAGTGACATATAACGAATGAACAAATAGAAGTCCTCATAGGAAGGTGGTGGATGTCCTGAGATGGTGATGTTGAATTGAAAGAGGTGACACTTTTTTAGCCCAAGGATAATCTCTTAAATTCTGGCTACAAACAATACAGTATAACTCTTATGGTTGCCATGACAACGTGAATCCCTCTCCTCTGATGTCAGCTGGCTCTCCCTCCTCCTTTGGAATCCGGAATGCCAGTTTTCTTTCTGCTGTAAATGTTGTGCCTGGTTTCAAGGACCCGGTGATGGGCTCGCCTAATAACTCTGTCTCTCAGGACTGTTTGTTCCAGAACCCTAAGGTCACATTTTTTATGGAAAAAAAGGGAGCCTGACATGTGGAGGACTAGACCAGGGCAGACAGATTGTTCCAGTTAGGCACGTCACCCATTTCAACTGATGTCAGGGCCAGCCTCTGACCAGTCTAAGGTGTACACACCTCTCCTCCCTCCACCTTACCCCGGGGCCACACTTGCCTTTAGGTGTGGGATTAGGACTTATGTTAGGGAGTATGTTGAGGACTATGGTACAGTTTGAAGTCCTTCTGCTGAAAGTCTCTCCCCCAGTTGGCTTGCCTGAAGCTCCTATTATTAGGATCATTTTCATAGATGAAAGCCTTGAAAAACAGCTGCCAAGTGAAAATGCTCCCTCCCTATGCAGGGTGTTAACAACCAGCTTGTAATACTCAAGAATGAATTATGAAGAGGTTACAGGGCTCTGGAGGGTCCAGGACACAGGTAGGTCAGTTTGGACGCAGGGTAACACCAGGGATTCTGTATCCACTATCTTCACAGTTCTCGCAAGCCTATCCTCCTTTTTTCCTAGTTCAGTCAGCTTGAAAGACATTCTTTATTATTATTATTATTGTTGTTGTTGTTGTTATTGTTATTTAACCACACACATTTATAAGGTGCAATTTAGATACTGCATAATGATCAAGTCAGAGTTGCTAACAGCTGTACCTCTTTAATCACATTTTTATTTTTATTAGCATGGTAATTGTACATGTTTATGGAGTGCAGTGTGATATTTCAATACATATATGCGACATGTACTGATCAAGTCATGGTAATCAACATTTCCCATCTCGCTATCACTATTTTGTGTATGGAGCCTTTGAGTACCTCTCTCCTTGTTATTCATAAAACACACAATAGGTTATTGTGAACTGTAATCCTCTTGCTGTGCTATAGAACATGAGACCTTATTTCATCTATCTAACTGTGTTTGGGTACCTGTTATTAAACCTTTTTCTAGTCCAGCCTCTCGTGCCCTTCCCAACCTCTGGCAATCACTCTTTTATGCTAGAGGGCATTCTTCATACTTCCTCACACTGTTCAAGTCCAACTAATCATTAAGAATGCAGGCATGAGTAAAAAAAACAATGACATAATGAAATTTGCAGGCAAATGGATGGAACTAGAAAATGTCATCCTGAGTGAGGTAACCCAGACTCAGAAGGACAAACAAGGTATGTACTCACTCATAAATGGATACTAGATGTAAAGCAAAGGGTAACCAGACTGCAACCCACAGCTCCAGAGAAGCTAGCTAACAAGGAGGACCCTAAAGGGACGCATGGATCGCCCTGTGAAGGAGAAATAGATGAGATCTCCATGAGCAAACATGGGGGTAAGGGGGGCAGTAGAGGGTTGGGGATGGGGAATGAGAACATGAGGGAATGGGAGGTTCGAGCTGGAATAGGGACAAAGTGGGAGAGCAAGGAAAGAGATACCATGATAAATGAAGACATCATGGGAATAGGCAGAAACAGGGTGCTAGGGAAGTTCCCAGGAATCCACAAGGATGACCTCACCTTAGACTACTAGCAGTAGTGGAGAGGGTGCCTGAACTGGCCTACTCCAGTAATCAGATTAGTGAATACCCTAACTGTCATCATAGAACCTTCATCTAGCAACTGATGGAAGCAGATGCAGAGATTCACAACCAGCTGCCAGGTTGAGCTCCAGGAGTCCAATCGATGAGAGAGAGGAGGGATTCTATGAGCAAGGGACATCAAGATCGTGATGGGAAAATGTATAGTGACGGCCAGCCAAACTAGTGGAAACGCATGAACTGTGGACCGGTAGCTGTGGAGCCTCCATGGTACTGGACTAGGCCCTCTGGATAGGCAAGACAGTTGTTTAGCTTGAACTGTTTAGGGGGCCCCCAGGCAATGGGATCAGGATCCGTCTCTGGTTCATGAACCAGCTTTTTGGAGCCCAGTGCCTATGGTGGGACATCTTGCGCAGTCTTGGTGCAGGGAAGAGGGCCTTGGACCTGCCTCAACTGAATGTACCAGGCTCTGCTGACTCCCCATGGGAGACCTTGCCTTGGAGGAGGTGGGAATGGGGGGTGGAGTGGGGGGGAGTTTGGGGGTGGGAGGAGAGAGAAGAGGGGTATGTAAAATCAATAGAAAATTTCTTAATAATAAAAAAAGAATGCAGGCATGCTAATCTTCTGCTAGAGACACATTAATGGTGTCCAGTGACAGCTCACCTAGCACTCAATACCACCCAGCTCCTGTATCTCTAGCTATATGTCACACTCCCATGCCACTTCAACAATTCTCCCACACATGACCCTCTAACCACAGCTAACTACTCCTTGTGATTTGTCAAGCATATCATGTTTCTAATTTATACACACTGGAACATCCTTCCATTTCTCTCGCCTTCACCTAGTTTACTCATATTTCTTCAAGATTTAACTAATGTACTTCTGGGTCTTTCTTGATCTCTTCTTCCCTCCCAAGTTAGTTATTTTTCAGCTAGGTATGCACTAGCTAAACCCTATTATAATTACTTATTGACTTATCTGTATCTCCCAGTAGGTTGTCAATTTCAGGAGGACCTTATTTGTCATTAGAGCTCTAGTCTCTGACAATATCTGTGAATGGACAGAACTCAGTAAACGGTTGTTGAACAAATGGAAAGAACACAGATGGTGTGGATGCTAGAGGCCTAGCTGCTCTTCTTAGTGGAGGAGAAACAGTAACAGGGGAGAAGAACCATACAAAATCATGAAAATTACAATGAGATCTATTATATGCTAAAACATATTATGATCTACATTAAAATAGTTGAGTTCCATAGAAAAACAGACCAATGTTTATCAATCATACTCAACATTCATGTGATACATTAATATATTTTAAAGCTGGCCTATCATATTAATTAATGGGGGAAAGCATGGATCATTCAAAAATAACGCTTGGGCCACAGACTAGCTGAAACCTCTAACTTACTTATATCTCAATTCAATACAGAGGAGACAGACATTTTTATGAGAAATCTTATAAATACTAAAAGTCATATGTGACAATACATACTTGTAATCCCCACAGTCAGGAGAGTAAGGTAGGAAGTTCATGAGTTTAAGGTCAGCCTGAGTTACAGAGTGAGCTCCAGGTCAGCCTGGGCTTCTGTTAAACTCTGTCTCATATAAAACAAAAGATCTAAGGAAATATGGGATAATTTAAAACTATACAATTCTGGAAAAGTAAGGCCTTTTAAAGCAGCCTACATATGCAGATACCACAGCCAAAAAGATAAATGAGTCTGCATCAAAATTTAAAACTGTAGCAAAAATATATGAAAACAAAGTCAAAAGCCAAACAACACCAAGCAGCAAGGTACTTGCGACACTTGGACAGACAAAGGACTAATTTCCAAAGAGCTCAAACAAATCAGCAAGAAAAACGTTACAGCCCAAAGACAAGTGAGCAAATGACATGAATAGGCATTTCAAAGGAAAAGAAATATGAATGTCAAGTAGAAACATGAAAGATGTTGAACTTCACTTGTAAACAAAAGAATGCAAATCCAAACAGCAAGATACTATTTCTCACCAATTATTCTGACATGTATTTAACAAAATAGGCAATATCCAGTGATGATGTAAGTGTATGAGAACATACAATTTAACTACTAGAATTGTTATTGCATATGGCCTCTGATCTAACAATGTACTTGTATTTCACAGCTTGTTAAGAGCATTGGCTCAGGAGTCAGGCTGCCCACATTCAGATTATGCCTCTACAATGTAGCTATGGGCCCTAAGAAATCCTTTCAACTTCTGGAGGCTCGGTTTTCAGATCTGCAAAATGGGCACAATGGAATTTGCATCATAGAGTTGTAAAGGTAAAATGAGATTAAGACATATAACATTCATCACCATATCTAACACATAATAAGCATTCAAAGTTAGGTGTTTCTCTTATTATTGTGTTCCAAGGCCATTTATTCATATTTTAATTGCAATACTATTTTTGATAACTAAAACATCCTGACAGAAACAATGTAAATTTCCATATATAAAAAAATTGGCCCGAGGAAAGTGGAAAGGACAAAAGGACACGTGTGACATGAAAGTCGAAAGAGGACTTGGTGGGAGGTCACAAAGTCAGGGGAGGGGCAGGAGGTCAAGTGTGCAGAAGATGAGGAGGAGGGAGAATCCACTGAAACACACTTTGTTCAAGAAAGGGACAATGATATCTTATACCTTGTGAGTTCATTTTTAAAAATGAATAAAAAGAAAGAAGTTTGTTTAGGGCATTATGGTATGCTTACGGTCTGTAGTGGTATGCAACCATTATTTGGACGAGTTTAGATAAATCTTCAAGCTGTGAACTATATAAAACATGATTCCTGTTTTTATTTTTGAAATAAAAAAGAACATATAGTCTTTCCCTTCTCTTCATATATACAGACACAGAAATAAAGCATTTATCTTTAGAGAAGGACCTAATGGAGATAGATGGAAGGAGAGTTTTGCCTTTCATGTCATTTCATACCTTTGTATACTGTTTGATGTTTAAATTATGCACCTACATATCCTTTCTTAGGGAAAATTTAGTGTGACCTTAAATCTGAAATGACCTTGGTACCCCTACATGCAACATATAGATAACAGTTTTTCTAATGTAAGAAAAGGATCTGATAAACTCAGACCCTGTCAGAGTTCATAATTCAGCCATTTCCCCCCTCACTCCAATAAATGCCTCCGACGATTCAGTGGCCTGCAAGGTCTTCCTCCTCTGACCTCTTGCTCTGTCATTAGCTCTCTGACGTCACCTGCCTCACTCTCTTCCTCAGGATGCTCCAGTATCCCTGGTCTTCACTCTGAACTGCACACGCAGCAGCCAGAGGACTGTCACCCTCCTTCAGACCTCAGCCATGCTCCTTCCTGCCTTTGAAGTCCTTCCTGTACTTTGACATGGTTCTCTCCCTTACCTCCTCAAAGTCTTTGTTCAAATGCCACATTCTTAGGCAGCCTTCCTCTGTCCAACCCCATTTCAAATTGCAACTGCCGACACCTCTCTGTTCATGCCCTGCTTTGTTGTTCCATAGCACTTATAACAGTCGACTCTAAGACCACTTTCCATTCTCACTTTTTGTCTACCTCTCCCCACTGTCACATAAGATCCACCAGAGCAGATGTTTGTCTGTTTCGTTGTGTTCATTTCTAGCACTTAGTAGTTACTTGCCACATAGAGCAGAGACTGAAAACATGTTTGTTGAGCAAATGGGTGAATAAGTGAATGAATGAGCGTTCCAGACAAGGAAGAAGCTAGGAACTCAGCTCCCCCCTTTTTATTCTCTCTGGAGTTCTTTCTTAATATTTCTCCCTCCTGAGTTTTTTAAGTTCTTTCACAAATCTCAAAAACGATTTGTTAGATGAATGGATTTATACACACTTTCTGAGGTGTGAGTGATTGATAACTTGAGGAGAAAAGCTCGGGAACATTTGCATTTTAGTTGAGACCAAAACTTGCAGGTAAAGGGATGGCCTTGCTTCTTCGAGCCACTGAGATCTGCCTACAGTAAATAGGTATATTTGTCACAAACTCTGGAGACCTATCTCTTGTGTTCCCCCTCTCTCACTAATTCAATGATCTCTATGGGCCTAGTGGCTTTAAGATTGCTCTTTGATTTTCACAGTTTCCATGGTGAAATATGGTGCATAATAATAAAAACAAACTCACAGTGTAGTATGGGTATTGTTAGAGAAATACAAGGACATGAATATGAATACGTACACATGTCTGTAAATACATGTATACATTTACTTACATCCGCTGTCAAAAATATATCAAGGCAAGTTCTAAACAAGTCCCTAAACAACACTACATTATGTATTTTAAACAGCTAAAACCTTGGAAATTTCTGTCTTGACAATTTCTATATCTTTCATGGGCCAATAGAAAGGCAATCTCAGATCAAACCACTTCCAAATTACACAAATAGGTCCTTTGTTCTCCAAAAAGGCAAGAAACAGGATGAGCTCTGCTAGTAGGGTTA